GTCAACAGTCAAAAGGGACCGAGAACAGGCATTTCAGGATCAACAACGGGCGCAAAACGGAGCGAAACAAGAAATATTGCACAACAGGGGAAAACTGGCGCCGGTCTACCCTTAAAACCGGCACCGGTTGGATTTAAATTGCGATTTTCTAGAATCGCCGAAAGATAACCGGCGCCGGTTATATCAATTTTATGTATTTTCCCATCGCTGAAGAAAAACCGGCGTCGGTCGGGCCTAAAACCAGCGCTGGTTATGTCTGATTCTGCACAAAACATAGAGACGTGCAGCCATATTTTGATGGGAAAAATCCACCTTCCTTATGATCTGATCAAATATTTCTTCCATGCCTAATTGTTGGGCTCGAATAGACTAAAAGATGCCAATCTTTAGCCTATATAAAGCCCTCTATTCATCAAACAAGATATTCATTCCATATTTGGAGCTTAAATTTTAGTTTTCATATTTTATTTTTGTATTATCTTGAAGAGTTGGAGAAGAAGCCATTTCTCCCATCTACAATTGGTTCTAGGTAATTTTTCTTGTATCTTATTGTATTTCCTTATTCTTAGTTACACTTTTGTAATTAATATGAGCTCAAGAGGCTAATTCCTCAGCTAAGGCTAGGGATGAACTTCTATGCTCATTAGGTGTTTGATAAAAGTTCTAAACCAATAAATTGTAATTTATCCTTTATATATTGATTGTTTATGACTATGGTGTACTACATAGAAGTATGTTATATTTAGTTTATACTTGCAATTAACGTTGAAGTCCAAACTATGAATATTAAAGGATAAACATATATAGTACCATGAATAGAAATATATTCGGTCTTATATGATACGGGTGTGATGTCTTGATATTCAACGGGGTTTTCAGTAGATGAATGTAAGCCGTAACGGGACTTACACATAATGAAAACCAAGCTCTCGCTTCCTTAACCGGAGTTGAGAATATATCAGCGACATCGTATTCATAATTATTGGCAAAGAACTAATATTCAACCCTATTAAAGCATTTAAGTGATTCCCGAAGCCTTAGTTATTGTTATCATTCATCTTAAACTTAAAATTAGTTAACGGTTATCTTTTTGAACAAAAAGTGAAAAGCCAAAAATATAAAACACAAACCAAAATCCCTACACTTTACTCATTTATTCATTTAAAGTCATCTACTCTCGGACTAAATTAAACAACGTTTCCTTGTGGATTCGACCCAGTATTTTACCGGAATTAATTACTATATTGGCACTTGTACACTTGCAAGTTTAGCCCGGTCAGGGATAGACACTTCTTTATTGTGATCAATTGTCTTAAGGTGCTTCCCATCTGTATGCGTGACAGTCTCGACGTGTTCACTTGGATTGGTTTCAGTTTCGCTAGGATTGGATCTCTCGGACTCCTCAGATTGGGCGTTTGCAAGCTGACCTACTTGATTCTGTATGGTCTGAAGACATGCTGCAGTCGTTTGCATAAACTTCTTGAATGTTTCTTCCAGGATGATGTGGGTTTGCTTCCATTCAGGCATCTTATGTTTTGCCTCATTACTCGGGAAGGAGTGAGGCATGCAGTTGCCAAGTAAGGATGGTCATATAGAGGTTTAACAGGGCAAAGACATAAATGGTGACATCCTCCACAGAAGGAACAAATGCTATTTTTAGGAAAGTAATCAGACAACTCCTCAGGAGTTTTAGTTTGAAGAAGATATTCAAGAATGGAGCCTGGTCTTGCGCTTACCCAAGGATATTGTGATGAAGGATAATAATGAGAAGAATCAGATTGGAAGTGTTTCTTAGTTGGAGAGTAAGAATAGGAAAATGGAATATTTTGTGGTTCTAGAGAGTAATCTTGATGAGGAGAATAATACTGATGTTGAGTCTAAGGAGGAAATGGCGTAACCTGATCAGAATCCCAACCTCCTTCAAAAGAGGGTAAAAGAAGCTCTGCAGTCTTTAAATCTTCCAGACCTTCAAAAACCGGAGAAGTAATTTTGGAATTAGTTACATCCGGGAGCCAGTGATCCTCCCAAACATTAATAGAATCCCCCAACCCCACCCACAAACAATAACCCGCTAACCGTTTGAGCCTAAAAAATGCTACGCCAAATAAAGGAGCTAGGGATTATTTGCTAGCCTAGCTGAAATAAATGAGCCATTAGGAAAATAGAGGGCTTTAAAGACACGAGCAACCTGAGAGTCGGGCTCAGTAAATAATTTTCACGCCTGCTTAGCCAACATAGCAACATTAAATTGCCTAACTCTACGAAAATCCAGCCCTCCAAACTTTTTGGGTTTACAAAGTGACTTCCAATCCCTCCATTGGATGCCCTTTCCAGTGTTACCGGTCCACCAGTAGCCATTCATAAGTATTTCCAATTCCCTACAAAGCTCATTAGGAAGGAGTAAAACATTCATCGCATATAAAGGCATGGCTTGAATTACCGTCTTTAGAAGAACCTCTGTTCCTGCCCGAGAAAGGAACCTATTATTCAAACTTTGAATCCTCTTGATCACCCTCTGTCTCAAATAATTCAAAATCTCCCTTTTATTCCACCCAAAGAGAGCCGGCAGCCCTAAATACTTTTCCTCTGCAGTCACGGGCCTCACACCAAGAAGCTCCAGTAACCCCTCCCTAGTGCTGACCAAAACATTAGAGCTGAAAAAAACCTTTGACTTATTAAAATTAACCACCACTACTAGAAAAATGTCTTACAGTGACACTTTCTGATAAAATACCACTAATGACATAAAAGCGTCACTATTTTCTAAAACGTAAATATCATTATCGAATAGTGACACTTATTTTTTTTGAACTGTTCCACTTACTTAAGGGGATATGCGCACGTAGAGTGTTTCGTCTTTAGTCTTTCGTCTTTCATCTTTCGTCTTCCCCATACGAAGTCTTCCTTTGCATCGGTGGTAAGGGATTCAGTCCCAGGCTAGCGACTGCACCAACAGAGTATTTTTTTGATTTTGCATACCTAGAATGCAAACTTCAACTACAATATAGCTTTAGGTTTGAAATGAATATTGTACTTCAAACGTTCAATCTATGGTTTGAGATTTATTGATTTTGTTATCGTTTATGTGTTTACTGAATATTGAATTGGAATTTCTAAAATATAATTGATTTGGAATTTCAAAATTATATTGTTTTGGAATGCTGAAACAATACAAAACACAGTGATACTAAAGTGTCACTAACTTATCATTTTGTTTGGATGGAAAACAGAATTATGTGATACCACGGTGTCATTAGTATATGTGATGTAAAAGTGTCGCTGAACGATTGTTTCGCATATGTATCACTAATTGGCGATAATATAATGTCATAATTTAGTGACACTTTTAGTGATACTTTGTTAGTGTCAATAGCATCCACTTTCAGCGACGCTTTTTTAGTGTCACAGAAGCTTGTTAGTGACACTAATTTGGTGTCACTGTAAGACATTTTTCTAGTAGTGCACCTAGGGATGGACTCGGGTCCGGGCCGGGTTCGGGTCAGGCCTAGGCTCGGGCGGGCCGGCGGTTCAGAAATGGTGGACCCGGGACCGGCCCGGGTAACCACTAGGTCCGGTCCGGGTCCGGGCCCATTATCATTTTTTTTTGTTTTCCCTTTCCTAATTAACCCCCCTCCCACCCCCAACCTTCCAAACCACCCCAAATGGCCCAAAATACCCAGCCCAACCCGAAAATTTAAAAAAAATTGAAAAAAAAATAGGTTTTGGCCTGAACCGGGCCCGGACCCGGGCGGGTCGGGCCTTGTTTTGGGTGACCCGAGCCCGGACCGGAAAACCCACGAGCCGGGCCTACCCGGACCGGTCACTGACCGGGCCACCGGGTCGGGCCGGGCCGGAACAGTACCGGTCCCGGGCCGATTCCGGGTCGGGCCACCCGGCCCGAGTCCATCCCTAAGTGCACCTATCCCGAAGCATATTCATAATCAAGAAGTCTCTCCTTAATAACAGTTGCCTCTCCATGATTAGCAGACAATCATCAACAAAAAGTAAGTGAGATATCCGCGGCACTCCTCTAACCACCGCTACTCCATGAATACGCCCCAAGCTCTCATGCCTCCTGAGTAGAGCACTTAGCCCCTCTACAATCAAAATAAACAGGAAAGGAGTTAAAAGAAGTTTTTGGCGCCGTTGCAATAAAAAAGATAAGGAGTTTTGAGCTTCCACAAGGCTCTTTGACATATCCGGATATCCCTCGCTGACTGGCTCCACCACCGATGCATAGGCCGGTTACCACAGGCTGGGATGGCCAAGGAATATCAATGGCTAGGTGATGGTTACGTACTACCTCAGTCTTAATTTTATGTGTGATTTACTGTTTAACCAAAATTTTGATAAGCTAAAACTAATTAAAATAAAAATGATATGTAGATCGGGACTCGTACAAGAATAACAAAGAAGATGACAACTGAGCAAATAAGAGTGTAATTTAGTGAGTTAATCGAATGTGAAGTTGTTGATTATAATGACCGTTTCGTCCGTTATTGATGAGTTGGTCAATTACATTTAATATCTTCCTTAATCACATTAAAGAGCCCAATAATTCATAAAAAACGTTACAATAAAGATTAAGGCTTGTGAATACCCATTAACTCATGCCGTCAACACCTCTTTATTTATGCCACGTAAATCATCAAATTTTTGCTCTAACACTTACCACAATTATTAGTAGGCAGATTAAAAAATGAATAATTGATGTATTGAATGAAGTTGTCCTGTTGCTAATGAATAATTCGGGATTATATCATGGTGCTAAAGTAACACACTTGCTACATACTTCTCCGTCCTCATTTAAATGTCTCATTTTACCATATTGGGATGTCCTTATTTAATTATTTCATATCTTATTTGGTAAAGTTTGTGTTGCTCAAAATCATTCTTATTTTATTCTTACTTTATCTATTAATATCAACCACACAAACCTACTTTTCTTAAAACTCGTGACACCTCTTCTGGGACATTTAAAAGAGGACGGAGGGAGTACTTCGTAGTACATACAGATCGAAAAAGAAGAAATGATCAAAATAATTTCTTTACCGGTAGTTTTCTCAATAATTGCTCTGACCATATGCAGTGGTTCTACGCAACAAGTCCCACCAGCACCACCGGCGGCAGCCACAGCTCCGGCGGCGCTACCTCGACCCGCCCAAGATTTCTTGGACGCCCACAACCAAGCAAGGGCGGAAGTCGGCGTGGGCCCACTGGCGTGGAGCCAGATGCTTGCCAATGCCACCAGCCTGCAGGTTCGTCACCAGAGAGACGCACAGAACTGCAGCTTCGCCGAGCTAAGCGGCAGCAAGTACGGCGGAAACCAGATGTGGGCAGGCGGAGCGGCGGTGACGCCGCGGATGGCGGTGGAGCAGTGGGTGGAGGAGAAGAAGTTCTACGATTACGCGAACAATTCTTGCATTTCAGATCACCAGTGTGGGGTGTATACTCAGGTGGTGTGGAAGGAATCGCTGGAATTGGGCTGTGCTCAAGCGACATGTGGGAAGGGACAGATTACCTTAACCATATGTTTCTACAACCCTCCCGGAAACGTTGTCGGAGAGAGGCCCTATTGATGATGTTTTTCTCTCACTCTATTTGCTTGTTCTTATAATTACCGTCTCAAGATCCAAGCTTCTCTGATCTTTTCCAGAAAAACAAGAGTTGGGTTTGAAGGTCTAGTAGTGGAATTTGTGAAATTTTGATTGTACTAATGTTTTGTTGATTGTCCGATTAAGAATGAAAACAACTTCATGCCCTTGTTCTTGATTGCCATAACATGCACTGTTTGGTTGTCATTATCATTAGTCAATTTGTTTTTGTAATGGTAGAATAAGTAATTCTTATCATACTTAAACATGGATGCTACCAAATGCCACTTCTTTTAGGTCTATATTTAGGAGTTTGAAGGGAAGGAGAGGGAAAGTTTTGAAGTTTAGTCATTGGGGAAGGGGAGGGAAAGGGTTGAAACCCTTCTTCTTGTTTAGGAGTATCAAGTTTGAAAAGATAAAGGTTTTAGGTGAATTATAATTATAATTAAAATCACTTCACATATATAACGAATTCAAATAATTGAGTTTATAGTATTTAAATTTGAGCTAAAATTGTCATTTAATTAGTTACCCTTCAAAATCTCTCAATTTGGGGAACTTGAAAATAGAGCATTTGAAGGGTTTTGGATGGTTATAGAAGTCCTCCAAAACCATCCCCTCCATATTTTTTAACTTCAAAATATGAAAGGGAGTGCCATAAACCCTTGTCATCCTCTCCACTCCAAAACCCAATTCCCAAACATACCCTTAGGGTATGCTTGTAAGTCTAAAGAGTGATTATAATTAAAATCACTTTAAAAATATGACAAATTTAAATAGTTAAATTTACATTGATTTTTTATTAAGTTAAGTTATCATTTAATTATTTATTTTTCAAAATCCCTCAATTTGGAGGAATTTAAAAATTAAGTCTTTGAAGTAGGGGTGGACTCGGGCCGGGCCAACCGGCCCGGAACCGGACCGGCCCGCTACTGTGCAGGCCTGGCCCAGACCGGTGAACAGGTTCCGGGCCCGGTTCAGGCCAACCGGCCCGGTGGGATGGCGGTTCGGGCTCGAGCCCTTCAAAATGTGAACCGGCCCGGCCGGTTCGGGCCCGGGCCGGGCCAATTTTTTTTTGTTTTTTGATTTTTTTTTAAGTTTTTGGATTGGGCTGGGTATTTTGGGCCATTTGAGGTGGTTAGGGTGGGTTTGGGAGTGCGGGGGAGGGTTGGGGGTTAACTAGGAAAAGCCAAAAAAAAAAAAAAAATAGAACCGAGGCCCGGCCCGGACCCGGGGGTTACCCGGGCCGGTTCCGGGCCTCCCCTTCTTGAACCGAGGCCCGGCCGGGCCTAGGACCGAACCAGGCCCGAACCGGAACCGGTCCACCCCTACTTTGAAGGGGTTTGAAGGGACACATAAATCCCTCAAAATCATTCATTCTAATTTTCTAAACTACTACGTATGAAATAAAATAGAAGAGGTCATAAACCCTCATGAGTCATGACTCTCCCCCTCCAAAGCACAACTGCCAAATTGAGAAAAATCATCTTATATCAAACTACTATTAACATAAAAGGGATGAATCTCATCCTCAAAAACCTCTAAAAACGGCTGGACCATTTATTGAGAGGATTAAATTATGTTCTACACAATAGATTAACCGGTTGTCTTATAATAAATATTGAAACAAGGTTGACCTGCTTGACCCTGGCGCAGTTGTCTTGAATTGAACTTGGATCAACCCCACCCCGATGAACAAATATACACATTTCCATTCCTTGTTCATTGGGTTCATTTTAGACATTTTTAACTTGTAAAGATGATGTGAGTATAGGATGTGAGAGAGTGAATTCACATCTTTTTACACAAATCAGAGCTTAAATTGCATTAAATTAAAAATGGATGAATATTTGCCTTATTTTTTCTACACTTTCATGACATGAGTACTTCATTAACTAACTTCACAAGGGGGGGGGGGGATGAGAATGATATACTAGTATAAAAAATTACTACTGAAACGACCTTATGAACCATTTCTTAGTCGTACAATTACATGCAGATGTATCCTTGTAGGACATACTTTCATAACTACAAAATAACATTAATATAAACAACTGAGTAACATATAAATAATCCATCTTGTTATTTTATATACAAAACAAGAAAAATCAATTATATATATAACTAATGTCAACCTATCCTTTGTTAAGAGCTAACTGGGAGATTTTATGTTCATTTGGGCAGTTGAAGAAGATAATGGCAAAACCAGCCCCTTAATCAGCTATAACTGCACAAGTGGAGCAATCACCTTACCAGGTCTTTATATATAAGATAGCGAAAGGTGAAATCATGAGGAACCCATTCGATGTTCCTACGACCTTTTCCCCGCTGAAACCTCTTCTTGAAAATAATGCTGCTCTTCCTCCTCAAAGAATCAGGCAAGGATTGATGGACCATCTCCACCACATTGGCAGCACACATTCCCGAATCCTTTGCAAATGATTCTACAACCTTAGGTAACACAATTTTGTGATCCTTTGACACGCCGAAAGTAGCTCTAGTGTACTCCTCTTTTGCTGCTTCCAGCTCTTGTACCACTTTTTTTGGTGTGTAGAGTCGAACCTAAAATTTGGGATAAAGAAAGTACCCAACCCCTTAGGCTGTGTTGGAGCCCGGAAAATGATATGGAAACGAAACAAACAAATGCCAAGGAAATTACAACTATCAATTTTTATGACTTCCTTCACCTTTGAAAGTATGAGAAAAATCATACGGAGTATTTGATTAAAAAACATTAAATTTTACATAAGTTCAGATAAATTTTTCCTCTAATGTATAATAGAACTCATGGACAAAAATATGATTACATGATCATTATAGTCACTACACAAATATTTGCATGGTCATGTGTAATCGTGAGTGTAAGTCATAATTTTGTTGATTACTTTTTATTTTAGTCTTGTATTTTTCATTGTTCCTATTTAAATTGTCTTTGTGCGAGGGAAATATAAGAACAATGTAACTATCATTAAATATCTAGAATGATCTACTGAGTTTCTTGCCTACCTTTTTTCGGCTTGTAAGAGCACCCTTGCCCCACGTTTGGTCGAGGGACTTTTGAGAAAAGGGAATGGTAGGAGTGAAGCTTATTCAGTTATTCCATTAGTTAATGCATGCATTTAGATGGTTCCAAAGAATGAGCAAATTGTACAGACATATATGGTTTTACTAAGCAATGGATGATGTTCCAATTTAAAGTTTGGTTTGGTTCAAAACGGGTTGGGGAAATTATTACTGAATTCAAATCAAACTAGGATTGCTTTCATTTGGTTCGGTTTTATTCAGTTTAGTTTGATTTGAGTTCAGTTTTAATTTGGGTTTTTTTACTCGTATGCTTTTATTGTGTTTTCATTCAGTTTGGTCCTAAGAAGTTTTGGTTCAGTTTGAATAAATATGGTCCAGAAAAAACATTGTCAAACTAAACCCGAATTGCACAAGGTTGGGTTTATTTCAGATTAATTTGGTATGGGCAGTCAAAAACATCCACCCCTGACTAAATTAGTAAACCAAAAATCAATCCCCCACCCCAAATCCCTCAACCAAACAAGCCTTAAGGTACAAAAACATCCACTGCAGAGAAACCAAGATGACACCTACCGCAGGATCTGAATGGTTTCCAGAACTGAGTGCAAAATGCAGAAGAGGTTCTGGACGTTCAATCACAAATGCTTGTCGCTCGTCCCCTGTTTTGAATTTTCCCCATGAAGAAACAAGAAAGCGAATCCACTAGACATACAAGTAACCAACATATGTCAGCACTAATGAGGCTAAAGTGCTAAACTCTATTAGAGAGAGAGATAGAAATTAACCTGTCCGGATCGAGGCATTCGGCATCTTAGTATAGACGTCTCTATAGCATCTGCGCTTACGATATGACCCCCAACATTATATGCAGCCTGGATTAGCACAAGTGAAGTTAAGAAGCATAAGAGAGCATCATTGCCAAACTAGAAAAATGTTGTCAGTGAGATAAGATAATTTTATATTTTGCCAACCTTTAACAGAATAAAAGTTCTCTTCATGCTATTTTGTGGGATTCCATAAGCCAAAAATGCCTACTCAGAGCGCAAAAATAATTACAGTTAGGCATATTGAAGACTTCAAGACAATATTAGGATATGACATTCTATCCTCAAAGGTCAATCCTAGATACTTTTTGCATGTTTGTATTTTTATATTTTATATCGGTGTAAGATGGCTAAACAATGTGAAAGTATAAGGTATAAGATGCAAAGTTTGGATGAGAAAAGTTACATGCATCACTAATGCGTTATGGATGTTAATCCAGAAAGCTAGTTTCTCCTCATGAGTCAACAAACTAGGATCGGTTTCGTCTAATTGACAAATAAGTGACCTGCAACACAAAAACTCAATAAACACTACAACACAAGTGACCAAACAAACAAGTTAGAAGTCAAATGATGTTTAATACCTGTAATATTGTAACAATGGTTCAATCTTGCAAAGTCTACGACTATCTCTATGTATACATTGTATTTCAACCATTGTGCTGTAAGGTCCGCTGAAATCCTTAAGTCCTTGAACATGGAAAGGATTGTCCAAACGCAAATCAAAGGACGAGTCATTTCGAAGTCTCGGGCTCCATGTGTCACTTTGAGAATATGGATTCGGTGATGAGAACGCTGAGGTAGTTGGAGATGAAGCTCCCAGCCTACTTGTTGTAAGTGCCCGATCAGAAAGTCTGCAGTATATAGTGCACATGCACTTTATCATTTCCTCGGAGAGCTTGTTTGGCGTCGTTGGAGCAAGATCAGTAGTACTATGTGTGGCGATATTCCGCCCCAAACAGCTTACCTTTGATGAAGTGCTCTGTTCATACTGTAAATAACAAAGAATTATTTAATTAAAGGGGTTTGTCCTATAGTATTACTAAAATAGAAATCAAATAAAAATATGAGTATATGACTATAATATCACTACAGTTACTTGTGAAAATATCAAAATACTACTCCTGTCCCACATTACCTACATACTTGTGTTTTTCTTTTGTCTCAAAATTATTGCTTATTTCCTTTAAAGGAAAGCAATATGTGATTCATAGTTTTGCTCTTTCTTTTAACCAAAACTTTAATGGCTCAATGACACAATTTTCACTTTATAAATTGTGTGTTAAGTCAAATGGGCCATAATTTAGGGACAGAGGGAGTACTAGGGTCATTAAAAGTCATTTTTTTTGTATATTGTTTTTATTTTTGTAATAGAATATCATTTATTCTTAAATTATATATCTTTTTTTATCTAACAAGTTTGTACTCTCCCATTCTTGCATAGGATCCATACCATATTTATAATTAGGCAGTTTACCATGAGTAACATTACTATTATTTGTCATTAAGCAGTTTACCGTGATTAACTTTACCATTAGGCACTTTACCACCGTGATTAACAGGTGGAGGGATCACTTCAAAGAATGAAACTTACCTCCCTCATAGACAAAGGCTGAGAGTAACAAGCACGCACAGTTTTGCCTGGTGCCTCATCCTGTGTAAAGGCTCTGTTTGGCCGAGCCGAGCGGACAGATAGGGAAGAATGGCTTCGTTGAACGCGAAAATCACTTTTCTTTTCTTCAGCTATGGGATTACTCTCTTTCTGTGCATTACATGCTGACAGACCTGTCCTAAGTGACACATCTGCTTTTGAAAAATCTATCCTTCTTCTTGGAGCACCTAGGTGTGACTTCAGTCTTTCAGCTCTTCTGGGAGGAGAAAAGGATGTGAGCTGCTGATCAAATGCTTTCCTGTAAAGTGAAAGGAGATATTGTTCCAAGTGCCCAACCTCAAACTCTAGCACTGAAATTTCTCTAATAAGCTCTCTTGTTGGCTGTTATCATCAATTGAACCAATTTCAGAATGGTAAATAGGTAAAAGATATTAACAGAATTACTGCAAATAAGAGTAAAACATGAGCCATGTGCACCAATAGGAGTATCCTTATTTTATTGCTATTTTTCAAAAATGATGGAATCGTTCAGTTTAAAAATATAAAAATTGGTTAAAATTTATTCTTTAGGATCAAACAAGTCCTAAATTCAGGAATAAACAATACTAGCGTATTTACATATTTTTTTGAAATATCAAAACTTGGTGTTCCGTTCTAAAAATTGGATACCTTATTAATTGGGGGGCTTTCACATGTGGGTTTATGGGAGGAAGACCCACAACCCAATGCTTTCTCTAAAGCACAACGAACAGCAACTTGGTCCTGCAATCTTTTCTCAAGCTGGATTATCTGCATAGACAGAAATGTGATTAGTATTGTATCAAATTACAGCCATTAGCCCCAGAAACGAGACAATTAAATCTCCTTTTAACTGTTACCTCTTGCCTCAATGAATTCTGGACCTCCTCGCTAGATGATGGTTTCTTCTTGGTCTTGACACAGTCATTGTAGTGCTCCATATCCTATCAGCAATTCCTCATCGAATTAAATAACAGGTGAACCTAACCTTCAATTAATTTTCCTTTTTTATTTAAGGTCACACAGAATCAGGGGGAAAAGGGTAAAAAAACACATCTTTGCCCATTAAACCACATTCTGAAACCCCTCCGATTATAAACATGAAAAAGGTGAAAACTTCAGAACAAAGAACCAAAAGCAACAGGAGAATCGACAGTGAACAAAAATTACTGGGACCATAAAAAGAAACTTACCATCGGAGGCTTTAATGGTGCAAGAGAAAAGAATGATCAACCAAGACTGAATCTTTTTCCCAAAGATACAACATACCCAAGAGACTTAAAGAGTCAAAGCAAAAATCAACTGATTTTGGGCATCAGAAACCGCACTTGTTCTTCATGCAATGCGGCAGGGTATGAACTGGTTTGCAGACCATAACTGAAAACGAGTCAAGAAGACTTAAGAGCCGATGTAGTGTGTATGCGCATTAAATTGGGCAGCCCGGACACCTTTTGACCCTGAAAAGCTTTGTCTTCTTTTTCTTTATTTCCTTTGATTCTTTCCTTAGAGCGATATTTAAGTCTAGTAGCTCTAAAAGAAACTGTTACTCGTGTAACCCCAACATACTCCTCCGAGTTGAGTAGCTTTTTTGGCAACGGAGTGGAAGGCGTCTGGTGGGGTGGGCTTTTCCGCTTTTTCGTCTTAAAAGTGGGTCAAGTAGCCGCAAAAGTCTCCCCCTATAAATGATGATTCTATAAATGATGAGTATAAATGTCAAAGGTTGTCCCGGAGGTGCTTTTTTGAACTATAAAACAAGGATACTCGGTATATTTTGTTCTACTCTCACTTCCAAAATAGATTCATTATTTCCTAATTCATCTCTTCAAATATAAATTTTTTCTACGAAAAAAGAATATGTGATTTTCTGTTACAATTTTAGGTTACACAATTTTCACTTTCTTAATTTTTGTGTAAATCAAAACAAGAGTTAATTATGAGACAAAGAGAGTATAAGAGCATGTTCAATGCAATAATGTGTACGGTACATATGTATCATGAGAAAATAAACCTAAAAAACAAATTATTCACATTTATCTATTTTTCTTTTCATGATTTTATATAATTTTGTACTTAATCACAACAATATTAATCACAATGTCTACATCTAGATACTCGTCTTGATATTGTGGATAATAACTTATCAAAAAAAATAAGACCTTTAAAATAAGGAGAGAGGGGAATATTGCTCATTAATATAAGTAATTGCTACATATAGGACTAAAAGAGGAGAGAAATTCTTAAGTAGGACCATGTGTGTTTTTCCCCAAATAGGACTATTTTACTCCTATTTTAAAATATAAGTATATTTCATTCCACTATTACCCTCTTCTCCCTTTTACGCACATCTCCCCTAATCTCCCCTGCGTACAACCTCTTCCCCCTTCTCTGTTGTGCAGATCCTTCTCTTTCTTTCTTGCGCATCATCGATCGACTTCACCCAGGCCATCGCCGCCTCCGTCGACTTCGCCCTGCGCACCAGATCGGCCAAGTTCTCTCTCATGTCGTCGATTTCGCCGATACCATTAAGGTTTTTCTTCCTCTTCCTCTTCCTCTTCCTCTTCCTTTTCCTCTTCGGTTTTCTTCCGTTTTTCTGAATTTTGAATTGAATTTTCCAATTTTCGGACTTCTGTTTGATTTTCTGATTTCTACTTTCTAAGTTTTAAAACAAATTCTGATTTTTAACATTTTGGATAATTGCTTCGGATTTGGCCAAGTTTGTGGCAGAAATTTGTACATTAACATCATATTATGGCAGAAATGCTTTTGTATAAATTGGTTTTTTTGATTTTTTGTCAATAGTTTCGTTTACTAATTTCCGATTGTGCTAAGAAAATTATTCACCTAAAAAATTTAGTTGTTTGAATATTTGGTTATTTACTTGATGTTTTTCACATTTTGTCAAATTTATGGCAGTTTTGTGTTAATATTCCAACATGAATCTGCCAACTCTTTGGCAGATCTGAAACCCTTGTGTTATGGCAGATGTGGATCTGCCAACATAATGGCAGATTTATTCCACCTGAATTGTGGTGCTAAGAGGATGGCGATGGTGGTGGATGGCGACGCCGGTCAGATGGCAATGGCATGGATGGTGACGCCGGTGTGGTAAGCGGCAGCGTCAGGGGGCGGCAAGGATGCGACAACAGGCGGCGAGGGCGGCAAGGGCGGCGATAGGCGGAGTATCCGCCGGAGAGGGCGGTGACAAGCGGCGCCGTCTCCGGTGAGGGTGGAGGCAGGGCGCCAGCGAGTGGTTTGGCTCTGACAGCGGCAGTGTTACTGCTAGGGTTTCAATAGTTTTTAATTTTACAATTTTAAAATTTAAAACATTAAAAGAGTGGTATTTTTGTCCAACTGATCTGAAAATGGTATTATGAAACTTGTGCTTTGTTTATAGTCCTAAATGTGCAATTAATTTTGCTATTAATCCTATTTGAGGCATTAAGTCTAATATTTATGTGTTTATTTCTCTCATCCCACATGTGTACCATGCGCATTGTGGCATTGGAGATGTTTTAAGAGCAACTCAATGCACAAAAGTGCAATGTGCATATGTAATAAGAGAGATAAACACACACAAAAAATCAATGGTCTTTCTCACTCTTTCTTTCCATGATTTTATCTGTTTTATTAATGTTTCTCAATAATGTCAATCACAATGTCTATATCTATACATTATATGTGAAACATTTTACTAAAAAAATACTTCCTTCGGTTCTAAATAAACTTCACACTTTCCTTTTTAGGTAGGTCCAAAATAAACTTCACACTTCTATTTTTTTGGAAATTTTTTAATATAAAGTTATCCTTATACCCTTACTTTATTACTTACTTTACATCTACTTTCTCTCTCCTACTACACTTTATTTACGTTTTGTAGGGGTATGGTGGGAAAGTCAAAACAAAAATTTCACTTTCTTAAAAATCATAAAGTCAAACCATGAAGATTATTTAGAATCATTGGGAGTATATAACCTTTTAATATGAAAAGGGGCATTTTACTTATTACTATATACTAGTACATTTTATATACTCCCTCCGGTTCAAATTCTTCTTTACACTTTGACTTCACAAAGATTAAAGAAATAAATTTGACTTTACTGTAGCTGACACTGTTTGGCACTATTTGACACTATTTGGCACTGTTTGACACTGTTTGGTATAGATTTGTAGGCAAATAAGACCATTTGGAGTGGTGTGAGAGTCTAAATGTCAAAAATGGACCCCGTCCATATGAAAACAATGTTTTACTCCCATTTCTGCATTCCAGCACCGTCAATAAAATATACTGTGCACATTTTTTTACATGTTAATTTAGTAAAACATTAATTACATTATTATAAGTAATTTTTTTCTTTTAATTTTTTCTTGAATAATTATGAAATAAAAAATACACATTTCGATGTAAAAATAAATAAATTTCATTAATGTTTTAATGTTTTTCGGTTAACAAAAAATGAACTTTGTTCAAGTAATGTTCGATTATAAAATAGTCAGTTATTTGTTAAGACTCCATGAATTAAAAATTTGCGTTTCTTCATTTTTTATACTGAAGAAAACTTCAACAGTTAAAATTTAAGATTTTTTTTCATTTTATAGATTACATATTGGTGTCATATGAAAGATCATAAAATTTTATGAATTTTGATATATATTTTGAAAATTTTGGAGAACCTACAAAAAAGTTATACAAGTTCTAAAAAACTTGGGATATTATAATGCAACGATGACATCAGCACGAAATCACTTTGTCAAACAATTCCCCTCTTCGCACAACAGGTGCCGCCCCTCCCTCTTCCTTTTTTATTTTGTCCTCTTGCATTGAGACCCTTCTAAGATAACCCCTCCATCACCTTCTCCATTTTTACTTCCCCATTTAGCCAACCACAATAAGGAATGAGGAGTCCAAAAATTCCACTTTTAACATTTTGGACTCTTAATCCTACACCACTCCAAGTGGTCTAAGGAAGTGTAAAGCTTATTGTGGTAATAACAAAAAAAGAAAGGGTAAAGAAGAATGTGAACGGGAGGGAGTATGTGTCTATCTCCTTAATGTCACATATGCACTAAGGTTGTTTTTACTTGGATTGTAATTCGTCCCAGACCAGATCAGACCAGACCAAAACAGACCAGACCAGATCAGACCAGACTAAAACAGACCAGACTAAAACAGACCAGACCAAACCAGACCAAACCAAACTAGACCAGACCAGACCATATTTTATTATTATTATTATTATTGTTGTTGTTGTTGTTGTTATTGTTGTTGTTATTATTATTATTATTATTATTATTATTATTATTATTATTATTGTTATTATTATTATTTTTTTATTATTATTGTTATTATTATTATTATTATTGTTAGTACTTGATGGAGTATATGGCCCGGGAACACCCGGCCCACAGACTCCTACTACTCCAGTGGAGGCCCAACAGGCCCAGAAGGCCCAACAGGCCCAAATCACGGCGCCCAGAGTACCAAGCAGCCCGCAATACGCACCAGGGGTGCCTTCGGCCCCCTGGCCGAAGGCTCCGAACTCTCACAGAACGGATATTTCGAACAAACAGAGGGACTGGGAGAAAACGGCGACAACAGTAGCCCTCGGCAACCTGGAGCCCTCGGCACTCAGGGGTCCTCGGCACTAAGAGCCCTCGGCTAGTCCTCTGCAGCCGAGGGCACCTCTCCCGACATGATATCCGCCTCACATGTGTACAGATCACCGTACCCTGTACAGACGTCCCATCCAACAGCCACATTAAATGCGGCCACATGCGGCTGCCAACGCCAACCAGTTGAGGTGACCTCTCGGCCAATAGGCGCTTGACACGTGTCCCTGTCCGGCATTTATTGCTACTATAAATAGCACCCCATTTCCCCATTTGTAACCACGCTGAAAACGCTCCACATTTATAATACACACTCTCTCTCTACATTTACTTGCTCTGACTTCTCTCTAAGTTATTCTCAGCAATAACCCTTCGGACATATACCCCCGGGTAGACTATCCATCATTTGGTGCTCTCGTTGAGAGTCGAACAAATCGAGTAAGAAACCCTCCCCCTTCGCCAAACACTAGCCCTCTACCAAAAATGGTGAGAACAACACGTGCCAACTCCAAAAACGTGGAAGACAAGAACCTGGCCCTCGGCGACGTCAACGCCCCCGAAGACTCTCACAGGGCTCCCGAGGGCGGTGTCATCACTGGGCTGGAACAGGCGGCTGTCGACCTACGCCTTCAGATCCAACAGAATGCCCCTGATGCCCGCCTCGGCATCGAGGCCAAGAAGAAAAACCGGAGCGATGACCAAGTCAGCCCTCCGGTTCTCACCATCGACGTGCAATCGGCGCTCTCCGCCTTCATCCAAACGCTCACTCAGAACCCGGGTGCCTTCGGCACCCTGGCTCCGGCTCAACCCCAGGTTGGGGAGAACATCATACTTCCCCCTCTGCCACACCCCTTCGGA